AATTTTAATTTATTAAATAATAAATATTAATTATTTTATTAATTATTAACTATTTTTAACAATTAATTAAAATCAAATTTTAATAATTTAAGTTATCTTAACAAATTTAACAATGAACTTAACCAAAACCTAATTTAATAATCTAAAAGTGTTGTCTATTAACATTCTACAAAAGCTACACAATAAAAAGTCTTATGATTCAAATGTGAGTGCTCTCATGCATTGTTCCTAAGATTGAGATTAGTGGCAATAGGTTTTCTCCTTAAGGTTTCTCTCTAGTAGAGGAGTTCCTTAATCCCTATTTTGTTCTTACCCCTACTTTTCTCCTCTTGATCTCTCCCTTCATCTTAGTCAACTGCCTTGCTTTGGAAACTCCAACCTAAGGGACCACAATGTAACAGCATATTTAGGTTTTATAGTGTTTTGGCATCTTAAGAGGTCAACTAGTTTTACATCTGTTGCTGATTTCAAAAGGTTGTGATTGGAATAATGAGGGAATTTCTCTTGCCGGTGGATAGGGTTTCTCCTATTCAACGGGCAAAAATCTCACTTTGGCACATCTTCTCAGGTGTGATCTTGGCAAGGATCAAACTCAGAGAAATAGGTTCACATAAGTTTTTGATCAAGCAGTCGAATACAAAAGGAAAAGGATGCTATTTATGAAGTCGGTTGTGTTCTGCAAGGGAAGAATGGTATTCAAGTCGATAAAGGGGCTCTAGTTCCCTTAATGAGTTTCAACAGTAAAGGCTTGAAAAGGATCGGAAAAGATGGAACCATGGTTGGGAGCACATGGAGACAAGTGGGGTGCCTTGTGCTTGTATGGAGGAGGACCATGCCACTCCTGTTGGTTATTCTTTAAGAATAGATAGGGTAGCAACTTGCGGGTTGGGAATTATTTGTTGTCAGAATCCCTTACTCTCCCCTTGAAGCTAGTTAAATAGGTGAGAACATCCAATAGTTTTTGATACTCATAGAGACCCTCCTTTCTACATTAGTAACCCTATTTAACCCATATAGCAATTGTAATTACAACCTGTAGTAGTAGATGACTCTATTTGCTTAATTATTTATATTCGTTATAAATATAATTTAAATCTATTACTAATTTTATAAGTTATGCTTTTGATTTTATCCTTAAACTATACTATTTTTGACTATAATGCCATAAAATAGAGATTTTACTGTAATTTTTTATTATTTAATATATTTCTCTATTTCTTAAAAAAAATTAAGTCTTATGATCCATAATAAATTTCATATGACTCATAAAGACTTCAATAATTATGCAATAATTAATTATATATTGCAATTTAAACAGTAAAACAACCAATTTATATGGAATGCGGATCTCATTTTTGAGAACAAGAAAGAAGGCAAAAGGGTGCTAGAGCAAGTGTTACTTCCACTCATTAACAAAGATTAGAGACGACAACAAACAACACTAGAAACATTGCGATGCTCAGAGGCACCGTGAAGCTGGCCGGTGCTCCTGAAGCCTGTGAAACGCATTTATTTTATCTAATGTACAAAACGTTTGTAAAATGAACCGCAAGAACATCAATTGATGGCTAGGAACATGATCTTCAACCGGTCTGAGCAGGTGGTCCTCTAGGAACACTCGGGCGCGTTGGACCCCTTGCAGCTCTGAGTTGGATGACTCTTTCTTGGACTTGCACACTCCCCTTCTGCCAACAAACAGAGCATCAGATCTATAATTCCTGTTTTGACGCAATAAGAAGTCAATTAGTTTTGAAAAAGAAATGAATATATACCTCAACCTCCATGGATTCAGACTTGGGTTCTTCCCCATCTTCTTTTCCATTATCATTTTTCCAAGATGTAATGGATTCAACCAGATTTATAAACCCCTTCTTCAGATCTTGAACAAGCTTCTCCATTGAATAAACTTTTCTTCTTGGGATGGTACTGGGCAAACTCATCAGCTAATGGGTATTTTATGCCCATGCCGACTCTGGACACTTGCTAAGCCTAGCTGTTGACACAGAAAAGCTCGATTCAATCAAAGGAAGAAAGCATGTGCTTTGGCATTGGTTTCTTTGATGACAATGGAAAAAGTAGAAGCCCAGCTGTTGAACCTAGACAAGGAGGATGTATTCAGTGCAACATAGGTACAACGTCAAAGTCTTGGTATCCTCAATTAATGGGAAACAAATATATACCTCATCATATTTAAGGATATTTCAAAATAAAACGTCTAATGTGACATGAAAAATTATAAAATTACATCAGAAAAACCTCTAACATGACATGAGACACCATTAACTTGGCTTCAAAATTTTCTTTTGTGAATTTGTGTATGCATCTGGAAAAAAAAAAAAAAAAAAAGCGGCTCTTCACACGTTGCTCTACTACAATGAAGAATTTTTTTCCATAGGGAGTATATATTATTGTATTGTAAGCAATTGTTTCTGAAGGGAAGGATAAGTGCTGTCTATTGTTGCGTATGATTGTTAGCATTTAGTAGATTGGACCTATAAATTAATGATGAAAATTTCCAGTCTGTGCTTAGCATCATTGAGATTTGCTTTTCTTTTTGTTGCTTTAAATATCAGTTTTACTGATTGTTCTCTCCTCTTCTAGAGTTTTGTACTTTGAAACATATTGCTTTCTTGTTGACAGTCTTCATCATAATCACTAAGGACATGAACCATATTAATATCTCAAATCTAAAAATCGTTACTAATAAATCAAAACAAATACTGAGATGAAGTCTTAAAATAGTTACATCACACTGAATAATTAGGATGCGGCATATTAATTTATGTCTTTTATTAATTGAAAAGAGTTAATTATAATTATTTTTACGCACATGGGTCTAGAGGTCCACTGGCATTAGCCAGCTTGTTAGGTGCATTCCCCCTTCCCTGAGCGGGTTTCAAACCCGTCCCGTGTCAAAATGTTCAAAAAAAAATATATATAATTATTTTTACAATCATTATTTTTTATTAATTGAAAAGAATCAATTACATTTTTTGTCATCGTATGATTGTAAACTTCTATTATGAAATAAGATTGTGATGAATCATTTCCTAAATTTTCCTTTCTAATATCCTTGGTCCTTCCCAGTCCCAAGGCTCATGATCCCCATTATCTACAATCTAAAATCCCCAATTTTACCAGGAGGATATTCATTATTAATCAACCAACACGTGTCAGATCCTCACAAAGAAAATGCTAAGCTCAGGCCCATTATTCCCTTCCGGGCTCAACATGTACAGTGTCTCCGAATCCTTAGAGCCCACTATCCGATCAAAATGGGCCCTCATGTAGGCTAACTCACCGTCCTGGGCTTCCACCTCGGCATTACCCGGCAATACTCCCGCCCCCATGGACACCGCCCTCAGCAGCTCCATCACGTTCAAATCCTCCTCATTCGCTTCCCTCTTTACACCATAACCCGTCCTCTTCCCGTTGCAGAACATCGTCCACAACGGCTCGTCGGATATCTTCGTCTTGTCCTTGTCGGCCCGCTTTTCACATTCTAATGCAATCCTTACCATCCCGGAGCTCAGTTCTTTCTGCAACACATTCGTTTGCATGCCGAGCTCAAGGACAAAGGTGGGTAAGCATCTAGGATTCTCTTGGATGGAGAGGCTCACCTTACCTTTACGATACCCGAATAAAGTTCCGGAAACTTTAGACCCTGAATCAGGGAGGCCTCCGTTGAGGGTGGGGAACTTGCAAACTGGGGTAATGATGGGGAAGGAACGGATTACGGAGCGGAAGACACGGACGACTTTGGTTTTGTGTTTCTTCTTTTGGGATGGTTGGACGAGGGAGACGGGCTGGCGGGGTGGTGGGGGTGGAGGGGCTGAGGCTGATGGGGTAGAAGGAATGGATGCGGCGGAGGAGGATTCATCTAGGGAGGTGGCGCTAGTTTGGGATTTTTGATCTCCCATTAATGGATGATGATGGACCAGAAGGAATGGGAGAGGGGGCCATGAGAGAGAATGGGGAGGGAGAGTTTGTTGAGTTAGGTATATGGGTTTGAGGTGGAGGGAGAGCGAGGAACCCTTTAAATCAGGTCAAAAGGTCAAATTTATCTTAGTCCGTTTAATAGCATCTTGAATGAAATGGGATAAGATAGCTGATGACTTTGGTTTTGCAATTATGGTAAAAAGGAATATATTTATAATGAATTTTTTTGTTTTTTTAGTTGAGGGTGAATTGTTAAAGAGTGTGATATTTTATAATTTGAATAGTGTTAGATTATAAAATAAAAATTAAAATAAAATTTTTAATATTGATAAGTTTATTTGTAATTTAATATAATACGAATTGTAAATTATTTTTTATTAGTTAATTATAAAATAAAAATAATTAAATAACACTTTTTTCAATATTAAGTTGCCCACCACATCAAATAATTTTAATGGTGTAATCTAGTGTATTCCAATTTTTGCAATTTTTTTTTTTTTTATGATTACCATGGAGCACAATTGCAAGTTAGAGGGTATATTCATTTAGAATTTTTTTCAAGCCCAGCCAGCTCAACAGAGGAGGTGGGCGTGTTGGAGTGGTTATGGGGCATGACTAGAAATCATGTGGGCTATTCCACACAAAAGGAAAAAGGAAAAAGGAAAAAAATATATATATATATCATGTGGCCTCTGCCCGCACAGGTTCGAATCCTGCTGCTCACGTCTGAACATTTTTTTCAGACCTAAGCAACCTTTTATTTATTTATTTGTTTTTTTCTTTATTTTCCTTTGATATTAGCAACTCACCCCTCCATTAATAATAAAAATACATATACAAACAAGATAAGATAATGAAATGAAGAGAGGAGAAAGTATAGCCAATAAAATAAGAAAGTTTTAGGAGTATGTTTCTACTCTTTCGTTTATTAGCATGTTTTTCGTATACAGTTACAAGTTTTTGTATAAGTAATGAAAAGAGGATTACATATATCAATAAATGAATTTAAATATATATTCATAAATAAAGTTAAGTAAATCCATAAATAAATCCATAAATGAAATTTAGTGGATTCATGAATGAAACATGATAAATCATTAAATGGAGTTATTGGGTGGAAGGTGAAATGTTATTATTAAAATACAAAATTTATAATAAATTTTACTCCATCATTTAAGTATTTATTATGGTATAAATATTACTCCCTATGTTCCTACATATTAGCCGTTTTAGGCATTTTCACCAAACTAAGAAAAGCAATAAATCACTTTTAATTTTAGCAATAAATATATTTAAAGTATTATTTTACCCTCTTCTCCACTTCAATTATTGAGTTTTACAAGTTCATCTCCCTCAAACTTATTAATTTCTCTCCTTCAAATATATCCTTAATTTGGGTGGCTTGGAAAAACGATTTTCCACTTATTTTTTAATCTCATTCCTCAAAATTTTTCATTCTAGATTTTGTTTCTTTTTTCATTTTTACCAAAAATTACTTTATACAAGGAACAATTTCATTTCTCTCATCCTGAAGTCAATGGAAGAAGAAAAGGGGTAGAAAGCCCAGCCCAAATCATATAGAGTGTCTGGGGTAGATGTAGTTAGCCGCAAATACTAGAAATCATATCAATAGTATCCAATTGACGAGAAAACAATCAGAGATGTCTAGATCTAAACTCTCAATTTTTAGAAATAACTTTTATTTCACCATAAAATCCAAGATTTTGCTGCCTATGAAAAATTGTTTGGTGGTTTGGGTAAACCAACAATGCATCTAAAAAGAAGAATCTAATTATGAAATTAAAGTGTTTCTATGACAATAACTAGAAAATCAAAATACCAACAAGGGGTTGGATCAAGTGACAAGCGACTTGTTCCAGTTTAAACAAGGTTTCGAGTTCGAAACATTGTGTATGCAGCAGCCTTTGTTGGGAGACCCACCCACCATTCTGGTACGTCACAGCTGGTCGAGTCCGGAGTAGTCGAGGCGAAACCCCGGATACTGGGCGAGAAACGAAAAAAAAAACTAGAAAATCAAAATACTTGACCCAAAATCTCAAATTTAGAAAAATACCACTAAAAAAAAAAAACTAAACTAAAAGAGAGATCACAGTACAGAAGAAGAAGAAGTTAGCAAAAGAAAGAGAGAAATGAATGGCAGTACAAAGTTAAGTCATTCCGGCTTTTAATTTCTATATTTATTGTGGGTATATGGGAAGGGTAAAATTGAAAGAAAAAAAAGTTAATGCAACATCGAGATCTTAAAACGTCAGATAATTAAAAACAACTTTTAGCTGCCAAAACGATTACCATTTAAGAACAGAGGGAGTGACAAATACCATTCCACCCAAAAAAAAAAAAGAAGAAGCGCAAATACCAAAGTATCATTACAGAACAGAAACATTGGTTCTCAAGATTGAGTTCCATAACTAAAACATGTATTGATTTATCTCAAATCAATAGTTAATATTATATAAT